GTGTGAATGGATTAGCGAAATGTCTAACACACATTACTGTTTCAACTGTAATTTATAACTGAATATCCTTGAATCGGATGAAGAACTGAAAAATGCGTCGGCTAAACTTAAAGCAATTGGCTTTACTGACTGTAATGACATCTTACGAGGTCATTCAAAAGTCATTTTCAACCTACAATGTTTAATTAAGTCAGGTATCATCCATTTTCTAGTTATGAAATCAATATTACCGACTATTATTCAAGTATTTCACATAATTCTAATTCAAGGTTATTAAAGGTGTTAGAAACACTTTGGACTGGTCATATGCAGTCTAAATAATGTGTGCAGAGAAAAAAAGATTTTAACCTTCGCCTACCCTGGACTAATTGACCTAATACAGTTTTATTAATTATTAAAATGTCCTTTTACTTCACATAAATAATTGTCAAACATTTTGGTAACATTTGCTGTGCTAACTGCAGTATGATTGTAGAGAAACTATGAAATGATCTCATTTCAAACTTCAAGCAGCCACCTTACGTATCACATTCTTTAGCAGACAACTGATCCGGTCTAACGTTAAGGATAAAATACCGCTTTCGGCCACTTCACTGTGTATTCATCAGTTCACTTGCTCGTGTGCAGCAAAGTATATCGGCCGTACGCAACGTCATATCCGCAGAAGTATTCTGGAACACTGTTCAGCTTGGCTTGCTAGACAGAGGAGAAGAAAAGAATAGTACCATCTCCACCCTCGAACACCATGTCAACTCTAGACACCGAGCACCCCCCATTTGCATGTGTGCTTCACAGTGCTACACAGAGTCCCTCTATATCCCACAGAAGGACTTCTAATACGCTATCTGTACATAGCTGAATCATTAGCTATTCGGGATCTGAAACCGGACCCCTGCATTCAAAATCACTACATACATTCACACGCCCTACTGTGGCCACAGTAACGTTCTTATTATAATTTTCCTTCCTTTTACTATATAAATTTATTATTTTTATTATTCTCATCAACCTTATTTTATTGTCACTCTACTACTGTTTATTGATAAAACTGCGTTTTCATACAGATCTTATATAAACACTTTATCGTCTTGCCACTACTTCCTGTCCACTCTACACAATCATATTGATTAGTCATTTTCTCACACTTACTCTATCTTGCCAAATTCTGTCCCTTTTCTAATTTCTAATTAGTCACCTCTTGTAGGTTACCCTTTACGCATTGCGTAATACGTTTTTCGAGGACAAATTCTGCCAGTATCTGATTAATCTTACGATTTCTTTGTTAAATATAATAATCACGATTAAACAGCTTATGAAAATGAATCATCGAAAAGAAAATTTTCTTCGCTGTTTACGTCTTTTTCATCTCACGTTATTTGTCTACTGAATGCTTAAACAAAATACATTGAATAAAATATTGTTGATTAGGCTATCCGAAAGATACCCATGGATTGCTTTGCTGATTGTTGATTACAATGATGAGTCTCGTAATCCATTAAGTAGACCATCAGGAATAAGACATCGATTTGAAGATTTATGTCACATAGGTTTTCATTTCTTAACAAAAAAATATTGTTCACCTACTCAGTGGAGACGTGGCTGATTGGCTTAGATGTCGATTTTCAACCAGTGGGTTCCAATTTAAATTGAATTATATATATATATATATGAAATTTGACATTGTGAATTATACGTTTTATATCACATTTATTCTGTAAATTTAAGATGGAAGTCTGTAACAGGTGAAATCTAGTAGTTAGTATCCTATACTTCATGAATATATAAGGAAATTATTTCTCCCATTGTTTTTATTCCTTCATATTCCCAGTGGAACATAGGGCTTCAAGCTAGAGGTTTGAAGTTTCTGCAGCAGTGTTAATTTTTACAGGATGGAGTTGCTAGCCTTATGTCCAACCTTTCCTCCTTAACAGCTTTTTATTACTGGCTTAGTGAGGTAAAGGAGTACGTCGGCTGGGGATCGAACCCCGGACCATGTACTTGGTTGATGAGCGTCCTAACCACTGTGCCACCGACGTACTTTCTCCCGTTGGTTCAGATTATTAGATTTTGAAATTTCATTGTTTGACTCAAGAATAATTGTATCATACTGTACAATTTGGAACAAAATTTTAACTCCAAGTTTTCCATTTTATAAGAAAATAACTTGATACATATAATAGTGAGATGGTAATAATAATTTTCTTTATTCTAACACAGCACTTATAACATAGTATGGAGTTCTAAGCATTTGGTACAATATTGTATCTAATTTACTCAACAACAACAAGAACAATACATGGTATGCGTAAACAAAAATTGATAACAGAAACGTTTTGGCGTTTACAGGAACATTTAAGTCACAAATGTGCAAAAAGTATAAAATAATAAAAATAATAATAACAGAAATAGTGTCATCATAAATTACAAAGAGGAGAAGGTTCATTTATTTAGCTAATTACGCAGTAATTTATAAGTTTCACACACGATACTTTCTCCATTACATAGAATTCAGGCCAAGTAGGGTATCGTTGAGTTTTTTTTACCTAGTTTCGCGAGTATATAATCTTTTATAATGACTTCTAGTTTTACCCAATGAGATGTAAGTGAAAAATTGGGGGTAAACAGGGTACTGAAAGTCAAATAATATGGACTTCTCAATCAGTTACTGCAAATATTCAACAAATGCCATCTAGCCACAAAGTTCACTCTAGAAATTGAAAACGAATCTAAAATCCCTTTTCTTGATGTTGAACTTACAAGGAGAGCTGACAGAACTTTAAGAAGCTCCATCCATAGGAAACCCACATGGAACGGCCAACTGACAAACTTGTACAGATGGGTATCAATCAGTCGGAAAAGAAACCTAATTAGATCTCTTGCCACTCGCGTCAAACGCAGCCCTGATACCATGGAAGAAGAACTAAACTTCATGAAAGAAATCTTCATACAAAAGGGGTTACCCATCAAGATTCGCAGACAAAAACATCAGACAAAAAGTCCGAAAGCAAGAGACACCATCCGTGTCTAAAAAGATACTTAATATGAACCTGGACTTCAAAGGAGACCTACTCAGTGACGTCCTCAAAAGGAGAACTTCCATCTCTTTAAGAAGAACTTTCCTTGCGGTAACATTAGGAGTAGTGTTCTCAAGTCGTCCGCTGATCTGCAGAACCTCAAAGGACAAGATCTCTCATCTGACAACTCATATGTGTATATACCAGATCACCTGTTGCTGTGGAGCCAGGTACATCGGTCGTTCAACGCGCATTCCGTCAAAAAGGGTCAAAGAACACTATTCAGCGTGGCTGAAGAAAGGAATTAATGGCCGTATAAGGAGTGCAATAATCGAACATTTCAACACTGGTCATTCCATCTCAACAAACGCCTCCTTCAAAGTAATCTACAAAGTGAAGAACAACCTTCCAAAGACAGTACGATTCCGTTTTCTTTGCATCGCAGAAGCCCTAGCCATTCAGTTGGAGGGACCGGAACTGTGCATACAAAAGAAAATTATCCAACCGCTTCTACTCTCATGGTAACAACTCCGTTGATTTGACTTAACTTTTGTTTGTATGCTTATTTTTCTATCTACTTAAAACCCTTGTGTAATTCCGTATATTATTTTGTTTCCATGTACACCCTGAGCACAACTCTTTCATCAAACTACTCACGTCATCACGTAACTCTTCTTTAACAATCATTTGTAACAACTCATCCCTTTTGTTACGATCCTCTTATATCAACATCCCATTCATCTGAATTTACTAAGTGTATTTTCGTTTGACAAATTTAATGTATACACACATGCAAAACAACCATTTATATTTGCGATTGTACAGCTATGAAAATGAATTCACCGAAAAGAGACTCTTCGCTGATCTACTGGTCTTCTGTCTATTAATATGGCGTTTGTCCACTTCTCTCATCAATTCGGATATCTGATTAACGAAAACAGTAAAATAATTCCACTACATAGTAATTTAAAGAAAACAAACATATACTAGTTATTTGCATTCTGAGTAGAACATAAGGCTTCAGACAGCGCTTTTATTGATTTTACAGAAAGGGATTGTTAACGTCACCCCTAATTTTCTCTATTTTTTAAGACTAATACCCACCAGATGAGTGCGTCAGCTGGTGATGGTACCCGGCTGACGAGCACTCTACCCTTGAACCACAAGAAGCAGCCGAATTCCATTACTTTTCCAGATAGTTATTGAGATTATTTTGGATTCTCCGTTGATTAATTTCACTGGGTAAAAATGATTATTCTCTTATTGACATCACATCTCTCTGTATGAACGTGTTTATGATGCCTTCAGGTTAACTTGACATTGTTCATCTGAGAGTAGCCATCAGTGAAAATCCGTGAGGTGTGTTTTGTTCTAACTGTTTAACATCCAGTTAGTTTCAAGCCATTGTCGAATCATCTGTACTAGGAGCTGACAATTTCAACAGACACTGAGCATTTTAATCTAGTACAATCAATCAGCAGGAAATTCAAAAAAAACAATCGATATCAATGACACAAAACGTAGATATTTTGAATCAATAACCTAGCGGATAACACTATACAGTTTGAAACCATAGATGGATAGATGGATGATCAAGTCTCAGTAAACACCATCACCCAATCAGATGCAGGTACATTTGTCTAGCGAGTTTTAATAAAAACGAAGCGTACCGCCTGGATTTCAATATTGATCACAATTAACCAAACGGTATCTCGATAGAGATTATTTATTCTCCGAATTTAAGCGTAAAACATGTATCGCATAGAAAATTCGTCTTTTTTCAGTATCCACTTTAAGTCATCTGTTGTAATTAATTGTAATCGTAGTATTAGTATTTCGAGATGACCGAATTACAAGAATCCAAACAAAACACAGAGAGAGCGGAATTCTGGAATTTGTATTTAGCGGAATTCTAATGCAATTCATATAAGAAATATTAACAATCAACAGTAAGTATTTAAACAATACAGAGATAGAAATAGTCAATCACTACATCCGCCACACGTCGAATGTCTCCTTGTGTATTTATACTGATATCGCGGTTTGCTCGCCAGTCTCTGCGATCTTCTAATTGATTCTGTGATATTATTTCCATCAGTATCATCTAGACTTATTTCTGAATTATCTCATTTATTCTCACTTGATCCAAGTGTCTGTTATGAACTGAATTATCTTCGATGTCTAATATCTTCACCATTCGATTTCCCATTCTTTGTAGTATGATACCAATAGAAGGTCTATAATCATTCCCTCTGTAATAATGTACATCAGAAGTCGTGGACATCAGATGCTTTCTGAGAATTCGAGATTTGAATAGTTTTGCAGGACTTTCATGAGTACTTGTATGCTCCGCATTGCGATATTGAAGTAAGAAGTTATCCACACATCTCTCTAGCTCATCAAGATTTTGAGGACTCATTGATGCTATAGCACTCTTTAATGTTCGTACAAAATTTTCTGCCAACCCGTTTGACTGAGGATGACGTGGTGCTGTGTACAAATGACGACAACCTATATGTTTGAGCCAATCATTGAAGTTCTTCTCCGTAAAATGAGTACCATTGTCAGTAACTAAGACATCTGGAATTCCTTCTCGACTAAAAATCTTTCTCAACGCTCTGTGAGTGAATTTGGCATTAGGACTATCTGTAATGATGACTTCTGGCCATCTAGAATAAGAATCCACAATAACTAAAGCATAATATGAATTTAAGAATGGACCACAGTAATCTGCATGAATACGCTGCCAAACCTCACAAGATGCAGGCCACGGTGTCCACGATGACTTCCCATAGGACATTTTATGTAAACAGCTAGAACAGCTCTTTGATCTTTTGTTAATGTCAGCATCAATTTCCGGCCACCAGCATGTTAGGCGTGCTAATGATTTCATCTTATCAGCTCCTAGATGAGCAGAATGTAGATCATCCAAAATCGCAGATCTTAATGTTGGAGGAATAATAATTCTGTCATTCAGACATAGAAATCCTTCAGGATGGACTGAAATCTCATCTCTTCGCTTATAAAAGTCTGGAAATCTTCGCTTACACTGAACATTCCAACCTCTTTTTGTTGCATTTATAACGCATCCGTAATATTTCCGAGTATCATTTATAAGTCGAACTCGATCCACCGGTAACGGCTGGACTAATAAGCAATCAGTATCATTAGCAGCATTTTCAAATAATGAATAACGAGATAAGAAGTCTGCATGAGGTATATCCTTTGCCGATCTATGTTCAATAGTGTAATCATATGCACTTAGTTCTAAACTCCATCTTTGAACCATAGCAGCAGATGATTTATTCAAAGATTTTTCTGGATTGTAAATGAATTTCAAAGCTTGATGATCAGTAACTATGTGAAACTTAGTACCAAAGAGATACTTGTGCAAGCGTCTTATTGCCCATACAACTGCTAGAGCTTCTTTCTGGGTTTGTGAGTACCCTTGTTCACTCTTACTTAGACGTCTTGAAATACAAATAACAGGTTGTCCATTTTGCTCAAGTACTGCAGCTATACCCATAGGAGAAGCATCTGTAGTGAGAACAGACTTATCTTTCGAAAAAAAGGTCTTAGAAAGCTTGTTTATTAAGAAACTCCAAAGTTTTTCGCAAGATATTCTCATGTTGTTGTTCCCACTTAAACTGTTTACTGGAGACAATCTCAAAAAGTGGAGATAACCGTTGAGTGAAGTTGGGAATGAATCTGGAGTAAAACTGAAGAGTACCTATCCATGATCTCAACGATGACATATTATTAGGTGACGGTGCTTGAATTAGAGGTGCCAAACGACTAGCATCAGGTCTGAAACCTTCGGAGTCTACTGTGTATCCCAAGCATGATACAGACGACAAAGTGAAATGACATTTAGATGGATTAACAAGAACATTATTCTCACATAAACGCCTGAACAGTTTTAAAAGACGTTCATTATGCAATTCGATATTAGGACCATGAACTATAATGTCGTCTTGGTATGACTCAACACCATCTAATCCATCTATCATCTGATTTATTACATTTTGAAATATTGCGGGTGAAACCTTTAAACCAAAAGGCAAGAACTTATACTTGAACAATCCAAATGGAGTATTAATGGTTGTTAATGCACTAGACGCCTCATCAAGAGGAATTTGCAAATAGGCATCTTTTAGATCTATTTTGGAAAAGTATCTTGAGCCATGTAGCTTGTAGAGAATGTCTTCAGTTTCTAGAGTAGTGCAACTTTGCTGTAGTAGACGACTATTGAGTGTAAGGCGGTAGTCACCACAAATTCTAGGTGTTTTTCCATCAGCCTTTAGTGGCGTAACAATAGGAGTAGCCCAATTTGAAGACTCAACTGGCATAAGTATGCCTTGCTCAACCAACTTGTCTAACTCTTTCTTAACTGCATCTCGCAATCCATATGGAATTAATCGGCGTTTCAGGAAGATAGGATCACCCTCTATTTCAAGATGGATGGGCTGAATCTTCATACCACCTACACTCTTTGAACATTGGAGAAGTAATTCTCTGAACAAAGATTCATCAAACAACTCAGTACAAAGTGAGATTTCGACATTTAACAATCTAAGGGCTTTTAATCCCAATAAAGATGGACCATATTCACTAACAAGAAAGGGAATATTTACAAAATTACCACTGTCTGATTTCAAAGAAATGTTAGTAGCACCGATAAGAGGTAATTTATGACCAGTTATGCCTGTAATTGAACTAGTAGTAGGGTCTATCTGGACATTCTTACAAATCGATTGTAAATCTTTCTTAGAAATTATAGATTCAGTACTCCCAGTATCAATTATAAAACAATGGGACTTGCCTGAACTTGTAGTGAAGGTTCTCATTAGATGAGATTGAGTATTGGGAAAAGTTGAAAGAGACATCGACTGCATTTTACCAGATAAATTGGAAGAATTATCAGGATTCTGAGTAACATAAGTATTCGAACTTCTGCAAACAGTCTTGATGTGTCCAACTTTACCACATTTGTGACACTTAGCACCCCGAAAACGGCAAGTGCTTCGTAGATGTAACTTTCCACAGGAAAAACACGGTTTAATGTTTTTGATCTCTGGCTGCATTCTATTACCTGTGGAAGACATGACCACTTGTATTTTCGACTTTGGACAACATGACATCAGATACTGACGTAGTGGGAGCAGAGTATTCACTGTTGACATCTTCATATGTAATACATAAATCTTTAGCAGTTTGAAAGGTACAAGAAGGAATCTGAATTAACTCTTTCTCTAACTTAGGAATATTGATTCCAGCAATTAGACGATCACGTAGTTGAGTATGCAGCTGATCTCCAAAGTTACACTTTGAAGCTTGAATTTGAAGTTGAAGAATGAAGTCTCTTATCTTCTGATTGGGAGCACGAACCAGTTTGTTGAAATGAGCCCTCTCTCGTGTCTCAAAAGTAGTCATATGGAATTGATCTATCAGAAGTTCACGGAGCTTACCATATGGCAGAGAAATTGGTTTATCTGGAAACGACAGAGTCTTCACTAGGCTATATGCATCTAGCCCAATAGCAGTAATGAAATGTGCTGGTATTTTGTCATCCCGAACATTCTTTGAAATGCACCACGCATCGAAGCATTCAAGATAATCAGCAATTTCCCGCGGAGAACCATTTACAAGAAATTTTCCCAGGTTATTTAGTTCCATCGCGACGCCAATTTGTTGTAATTAATTGTAATCGTAGTATTAGTATTTCGAGATGACCGAATTACAAGAATCCAAACAAAACACAGAGAGAGCGGAATTCTGGAATTTGTATTTAGCGGAATTCTAATGCAATTCATATAAGAAATATTAACAATCAACAGTAAGTATTTAAACAATACAGAGATAGAAATAGTCAATCATCACATCATCATATACTACTTATTTCGTACAAATATGGAAATATTTTTAAGTAAAAAAGAACATGATAACACAGACTTTGTTAATTCATGTTCATTACATTGTACTGTAAACAACGTAACTAAATATATCTCAAATGTCGTAACCGAGTTCATGTCACAATGATCTGTCTGAAAAAAAAGTAATAGATTTCTTGTTGAAAGTCATGTAACTGTATACCTCATCTATGTTTTCCTACACGGGTTTAGAAGTGACTCATCTACTTTTTAGGTTGACCTTTAAATTCAGCTTAAACAATGAACTCGAAATTCTCATATTTGGCACAATAGAGACAAGTATTTTATACTGGTTATAAAAAGTGAAAAGAATAAAATAATCGATAGATTTCAGTCAATAATACGAACTAGACAGCAACATTGACTACTATAACGCGAAAGAAGGAGATAATCCTTACCTAAATAGCTAAGTGGTGTATGGTTTATGACTAAAAGACTAAATAACTCAAATTTAAGCTTTCTAGATAGATAGTGTGAATTTCTTCATTTCAACAGATACCCCTTGTTGACTGTAAGTATCAGATTTCTAGATGATCGATTTCAGATGCATAGTATGAAATGAAAGCGAAAATATGTTTACACTAGTGAAGGTTTCGTTGATCTTAGTGAATAAAACTGATTACATATATAGAGAACTGTGTATTTCGTTAGAACTAAAGCACATACACACATGCACATATTTACAGTTTTTATGCGTATTGATTGTCCAATTGTATAAATAATTAAATACCATAAAATTGGTAACTTTTTTACCTCGAATTAAACTTCATTGGTGGTTGTCTACGTACACTGTTATGTTATACAGTTACACTGGCATGTGTATATGTGATCGTGTGTATGTATTTATGTGCATGTTAAACACAAAAGAAGTAAAACTCAACCAAGTTTGTTTTGCTTTTTGTTTTTTCATTTTATAACTTAACATAACTACAAAGGTTTTGTTCTCATCGATACTGCATAGCAATCAGTTTGTCCTTTATGTATAAGTGATTTTAGGCGATCGATTTCTCAAGAAGAGAAATAAAAACTCACTTGTTTACTATTGTAAGAAAGTATCATTTGATATTTACTTTCTTTTCGAACATTGTTTCTAAACCAAATAGATAGATGTTATGATTTTGCTTTAATAACAAGTAAGAATGCGCCGTTCGTTCTGGTGTGTATACAATATTATCTAAATTAATTTGATTAGGGCACCCACACAGTCTCCGTAGATAACGCTTTTGTGCATCAGCAGTAGAATGCTTGCGAACCACCCATGTGGATTCGGATTCTCTTCCCATCCGACACACTTCACAATCTAGCTAGAGAAGTTGGGAGTGAGGCTAGCAACCCCACTACGGAAGTACAACAACACCGTTACTACGGATAATTCAAAGCTTGAAGACTTTTATTCATCTCAGAAAGTAGAGGAATGGAAAAAAATTGATAAGTACATATATCACATACCTATCATAGCATATAAGAAAAATATCAGTAAAGTACGACGAAAAAAATCTACAGGGACTACCCTATCAGGAAGATTGTTAGGATAGCGAACAGACAAAAAGCAGATGCCGGTATAGTATAAGAATTCATTTATTTATCTTTAGCTTAGCCATTGATGACATTATATAGTCAGCTCTGAAGGATGTGTGTGAAGGTGGTGTAGATCTGCTACCTGAAGATAGACTTTTCGACCTCGAATATGCAGACGATATCGTCTTACTGTGCGTTAGCATGCAAGCTGCCCAAATCGCACAGTGGTTAGGACTCTCGCCATCCACATGTTCCGAGGTTCGATTCCCTGCCGACGCACACCCGATATCTATGGTTGGCCTGCGAAATCTGAGCTACCGATATCCATGCTGAAAATTCCAAACTTGTACCAAAAATACGGTGTGGAATCAAGCTGTAAATCAAAAATCAAAACAAAAAACAAAAAAAAACTAATCAGTTGGCGATCAGTGTATGTAAGTATAGTATGTGCTTTGCGCCGTCTAAGTGCAAAGTACTGTTACAAGATTGGCAGGAGCCTGTACCTCCACTCACTGTTGCTGGTGAATTGTTTGAAGTTATTGATAAGTTTGTGTATTTGGGTAGTTGTGTGAGTGCTGGCGGAGGGGTGACGGATGAGATTTCGAACCGTATAATGAAGGCTAGGGTGGCATACATCAACTTGAGCCACCTCCGGCGCCGTCGCGACGTCAGCCTGGCTGTCAAAGATCGGGTATACAATGCTTCAGTGCGGGCTGTCTTGCTCTACGCCACGCCTGTGAAAACTGGCCTCTCCGAGTAGGCTGAGGATGTGTGGCGGCGACTCTGCGTGTTCGATCATCGCTGTCTCCGCAGGATTCGTTGCGTTCAATGGTATCATCGCGTGAGTAATTCTGAGGTTCGGCAGCGTGTGTTTGAACACAGTGGAGATCACCATTCATTGAGTGTCGTCATCTGGAGACACTGGCTCCGGTGGCTTGGACATGTGCTGAGAATGTCATCCCAGAGGCTTACGTACAGGTCTGTGTTCGCTAGCCAGCCCTGGGACGGAATGGAAAAGGCGGAGAAGTGGTCAGCCCATGACGTGGCGTCGTGGGATGAAGGATGTTTGTGCTAGATTAGCATCGGTTGGTGTGTCACGACTCCCTGGTTGGGGCCCGAGAGATATCTCGAATCAATGGCTCGAAACGTTCCCGGATATGGCCAAGAATCGTAATCAATGGCGAACGTGTTGCGATTTCCTTCTTTCTTCCCTTCCCGATAATAGTTAATGAATACTGTTTGAACTTGTTAAGCATGGCCGTTTTCCTTCCAGATGAAGTTCTTTATCCGTTCTCTACTTATATTGTTTTTAACTTTTGATCTATATTGTTTTATTATTATTGTGTGGCACATCTTTCTTGGTGCCATATTGTACCATGTTTTTTCTGCGTTTAAACAAATAATACACTATGCTGGAGGTTTGTCGCCAAATTTGTACACCGCGTTCTGCAGTCACGCAACACTAATCCTGTTTCTGTTCCAGGTATTTCAAGGAAAAATCAACTTCCACCGTATGGTTAGCCGGGAAGTCGCACCCGCCCACACACCTCCAAAAGCACACAAAGACCTCCTCCTTTATACACATCACCCTCATCATCTTGCTTCCCTGCTACTGTGAGTACTACTCCGTAGGCTGGTAAGTCATCTTCCTTTCATTCTGTGACCATCAATAGTGACGAGAGCAAGAAAACCACTTTCGGTAGCCTCTTAAAGCCACGCTGCCAACTTCACACTGGAGCATTTAACTTCAGGACTTTCTGCCTAATCAGACAACAGGTATCATTAGCCAGAACTATAGAATCTCGAGCCATGGATGTATGTTGTGTTTTGGAAACATGCATACACGATCCGAGTGTGGTTACTCACTTAAGCCCTCCTGGCCAACAAGGTGAATCTGCGAAATTCCTCTTAAGGGTACCAGGAGATTCTTCAGGTAGTTGGCGAGAACTCTCAGGTGTAGGGATAGCATTGGGTGTTAGGGCGGAAAAATGACTTCCCAACTGGATCCCATCAGATAGTCGTATGTATGAGGTCAGCGTTAACGGGTCTGTTAAAAGAAGGGAGGATGGCACTACCCGTTGATGCCTTTTCATAGTCTCCGCTTACGCTCCAACGGACTGCATTTTGGACGAACTTAAGGATTTTTTACCAGAAACTGTCTAGTTTGTTACAAAAAGCAAAATGCTCAGATATAGTTGTTTTCGCAAGCGACTTCAGTGCCCGATTTAGGAAGTTATGACAGACGGAGAAGTATATTGGCGATACCTACGGAGTCCCATGCGGACAGACTGACAGCGGCGATCGTCTTCTACAGTTCTGTTAAGATAATCATCCGCTCCTAGTCAGCACTTACTTTAGGTACAAAGAGAGATATTGCCAAACTCGGCTACTCTCATCACCAGGTGAACAACGTTGAACTCAAGTAGATCATATAGCAATAGGCTATTGTTAGGGAGGGTCAGCAGAAGACTGCCGCTCCTTCCGGAACACATGCGTAGGCTCTGATCACTCCCTGTTTTACACACGTGTGTGCTTACGATTAAGCGGACATAAAAACTGTTGGTAGCGAAGCAGGTACGCTCCCAGCTTGATAAGGACAGTGAGTCCCAATTTAAGGAGGAAATATAGAAATGCGTATCTGAGATTGACAGCAAGACTCCTCCTGCGGAAGCCTTGCACAATATACGGTCAGCTGTAGACACAGATGTAAAGGCTGTTAATAACCTTAAACCAAAATTTAGTGAAAGCCAGTGGATTTCTGCTACTTCAGCCAAACTGATTAAGGCAAGAAGACTGATTCCGGTGAGCTCCGATAATGATGAGAAACGGAAGCTGCTCAAACGCAAACTAAAAAGAAATTTTCTTAACGACCATGAACAGTGGTCGGCAACTAAGGTGAAGAAAATGGAAAAGGCATCGGTAGTAGGTAAAACCAAACAACTATTTAGACTAATCAAGGAAACAGGTGATGAAAGGTCAATGATAAGTGAAACAATCTACGAGAAAATATCACCATAATTAGCTCTCAAGATAGATGACTGGAAACGTTGGAAAGAACATTTTGAGGAGCATATTAAGTAGCTTACGGCCACGCTCAACTTACCCAGAATCCAACACCTCCCTGAATGGGACGTAAACACTGGACCTCCGTCCCTAACTGAAGTTATACAAGCTGTCACTAGCCTGAGACAAGGCGAGTCAGAGGGACTTGATGGGATGATTCCAGAGGTGTTCAAGGACAATAGAGAAAATTTACTGTCTGCGTAAACTAAGGTATCACGCACCATCTTGCAATGAGAGAT